AAATATTTTTCGTAAAATTAAATTTATGTGAATTGTAGCATTTAACACGTTCACGACATCTGTTGGACGTCGTGAGCCACCCGTGGTACACAGCACCCATAATATATAACTGTACCTCATATCTCCAAAGTCCTATATGAAGCATTTATTTTATACGGACGGCTATAATAAAGCCACGCCTTCCATCATGTACCATTGGTGGAGCACAGATGCCATGTTGAAAGGACAACTGAAATAAAACAAATTTACATGATTAAATAACTTTTTATTTTAAAATTGCATCTAGAGATTGGCATTAAATTTTTCATTGTCAGTAATTAAAGCAAAAAAAAGCATTAATTGAGACGTCTTTCATAAAAAAAGAAAACTGTTATGAAGAATATAATAAGGATAGAACTATTATCATCCACAGTAGGGATTATTTTATCTGATGTCCCTTTTTTACGCCCATAAAATTATGAAATATTCATAATTCTTCTAAAAAACGGCAAGATTAAGCCGAAAAAAAAATATTATGGCCATTTGATTATTATTACTTAAATCATAGTGTGCACCACCTGTGGCACATGATGACCAAAGCTTAAATGGGTAAAGACAGGACATCATGTACCACTGATGGTGCACTCAAGAGAAAGTTCCCAATGCATAACACAAGATTAAGCCGAAAAAAGAAATAAATTTTTTTAAATATTATGGCCATTTGATTATTATTACTTAAATCGTAGTGTGCACCACCTGTGGCATAACACATAACACAAAGCCATAAACTTAGCTGTATCGAAGGCAGAGTTCACAACGAGGCCTAACGTTCCTATTGATAATTAGAGAAATCATTTACGCCTCGAATGTTAATTTTGGAATACAACTTTTCATGTACACATAATCTTTTCTGCAAAACAAAAAAACATAGATAGGTTTGAGGGTCCGCAAAAAACTTTTAAATTAAAAGGGGTCCTAGACATTAACACACGTTCGGCATTTGGCTAAGTAAGCAACAATTAAAACATATAACAAACGCCTTGGACATTAACCCATTCGGCATTTGAATAATTAGGTAACAATTTTTTAAAAATGATGGTTTGTAATGATATGTGACATATTTTGTTTCCATTTTAAACTACATTCTGTAGCTAATCGTGCAACCATGGGATATTTTGTTCATAAGTAACCATACGTTGGATTACCAGGCTATCTTTACCGTGTTAGTTTAGAATAGCAACAATTTGAGTTACTGCACTTAAGTCCATAAACCAAAGCAGTTGTCACCCGGTAGGACAGCGGTAAGTCTTCGGATTTACAATGCTAAGATCAGGGGTTCGATTCCCCTCGACGGACACAGCAGATACCCCGATGTGGCTCTGCTATAAGACAACACACACACACACACCAAGCAGTTACCATAGGCGGCAGATTCAGGGGAATACTGGGAACACGTACCCCTTTTTTGACCCAGTGGCAAAGTAAGTCTTCGAATGGGGAATAGAAACGTATGTATAATTATCAGGGGAAATCGTTGTTTCGGTTTTGAATTCGATGATCGCGGTTAGCATTGTAAATAAGGTGCCTCCCCCCACCCCCCCAAAAAAAAAGAGAAAACAACTATAATATGTTACGCCTACTATGGCAGCTAGAAATCTATAAGTGAAATATTTAAGGAGCTTTGTCGAACTCTTTTATAATAAATTTAGCATTGTTCTTTTGTTGCATACATACACACATACGCACGCACGTATACGATATGTCTGCGAGTGTGTAACGTACATGTAATGATATCGATTCAGGTACCAAGCCTGCCACAGGAAAGCTCCGTCAGCATGTGTGGAGAAACGCCAAATATACTTGTGTTCAGGTCTATTATAACGTGGAATGACTTGTACATTATGAGTAGAGGTTGGAATGTACCTAATGTAGCTCCACTAAGGCACACTGCTAATATTATGTTGAATTCAAAGTCTATATAGTTTTGCGCATGGCCACATTTTTGGTAGGAGTGGCATTCTTCGTGTCTTTTTGTCTGTAGCAAATAATGCTTATTACTGAAGAATTTAAGCATCAGAAAGTTAAGATGAACAAACATCTTTAAACATGTTTCATTAATTTTACATGAACAAACACCTTTAAACATGTTTCATTAATTTAACATGAACAAACATCTTTAAACATGTTTCATTAATTTAACATGAACAAACACCTTTAAACATGTTTCATTAATTTAACATGAACAAACACCTTTAAACATGTTTCATTAATTTCATTAATTGTCAGAAGCTCAAAATTATAGGTGGCTACGCCTGAAACTCGAGAGTTTATGATCAGGCTGTTTAGCCCACGTGTTGCGTAAGGTTCATATCAGGTTGAAAATACTATTATCAATACCAATACGATAAACTACCTAATAATCAGACTAACTACAAAAAGGTGCTGGACGCTGATTTTAAGAATTTTATTCTATCATCTACAGACAGGCCTATGGCATATATGTTCAAAGGACTTTCTGGAAATGTTCCAACTGGTGGCTCAACTTCCAGGGCTGGACGTTAATCTTCCAGACAATGAAGGCTGTACTCCAGTAATGATTAGTGCACAAGCAGGTAAAAAGAAATAATTATTTTTATTGTCTATAATATAACAATTTGAAATTTTTTTGTTAAAACCATGTGACAAAATTCCACTACTGCCAATATAGTAACAACTTCAAATCACGACAATCAGTTACCATTTTTTATTTATATGATAAACAACATTTCTATAAGCTCTGAGCGAGTAATTATTATCGATTATTTTTTAAAGACAGATTTGCTTTGAATCCGTAAAATAATTCAATGTCTGTTTTTTTAATTATTCTCGGTGGTGCTCTATGCTCTATTGTCGATAGCTAACACTTGTAAATGTGTATGCACTGAAAAAACTCACGTTACTTAGGAAAAAGAAAGAGAAAAAAGATGGAGGCGAAACGTTTACAGTTCAATTTTTATAAAGATATTGTGTATAAAGAAAAATGAGGTTCAAAATCACGGTGTTGTCTAGCAACGAAACAATAAATTTATACCGTAAATCTTATATTAATATATATGTTTCACCCACAAAAAAAAAATATAATTTTTGAGCCCAGGACTTCTCAGATATAAAGCTTGTACTTTTCCAATTGAGCTAAAGGGTTAAACCAACAATCTAATCTTGGCAAGGCACTTGTATTTAATAACTCAAACTACCACAGTTGGAAGAAGTTAGCTCACATTAGATAATAAGTTTTATACTATATGAAGATCCAACTGTGTACTAAATCTAGCTTTAAAACCTTAAACACTCTTATGTAATAAAAAAGCTATATACATATGGGCGTATCAATAAAAACTATACCTTCAAAGAGTTGTTCTGGCTCCATTCCACAGACGTATTTTAAAATAGACGTAGATTCGCAAAATGGTGATTTTTTTTTGTTCTCAGAGACACTTTCTTTTCTGACTCGCCTGGATAATATAAGCTAGAATGTTTATATTAACTTATGTTTATTTAAAAGGCTTCACGTTTAAGTGTAAATTATTCATTGAAGCTAAAAAATAAAGAGCCTCCTTTTTATTTTTGGCACCGATAAAACACATGTCGTTTTATATCAGTTTACTTTTAGGAATAATATTTATTGCCCATGTGGTTTTAATAAATTGATAATACAACTTATGACTCTTTTTAGCTGTTAAGATATTTTAGAACTCCAAAACCTTTTTGTTTCTAAATCAATTATTGTATTTTTTCACAAAATAATTTTAGTCATCTTTAAACTTTCGTCTGTTCTGTTCCATCGTATTGTAATTTATGAAATTAGCCAAGTGGAATTTATTCCCATGTTTGTTTATTTACTGAGATATAAACCCGAGTACTTTATTCGGAAAAAAATAAAATTTTTCAGGTCATGCCGAGATCCTAGGGTTAATGATCAACATCTTCCAGAACAGTCTGATCATAGATCAACGCAACACGTTTGGAATGACGGCACTTATGAAAGCAGCTCTGCAAGGACGAAATCGCTGTGTCAAGCTACTTCTTGACTCAGGTAAACCTTATATATCGGGTTCAAGGGTTAACGTGCCGGGCTATGGATCTGAGACTCCATCTTTCGCACTTTAGGACCCGTGTGCGTCATAAGAATTAGTCAACTCCCACTGTTCGGTCAAACAAGAGCCCAAGATTAAAATCATAAATAATATTCAACGTTAAACTGATACACAATTAAAAACATTTTATTTAGGCCTATCAACGGCCTTCAAAAAGTTGACGACTCTACATGTTTCGACGTTACAACTCC